CGCCGGGCCATGTGCGCCAGGCCCAGCCGGCCTCGCGCGGCGGCGCCTACCAACTGGCGCGGGGCCGGGGGGAGTGTGTGTGAGGGGGAGGCGGGGGGAATCCCCGCCCCGCCGTAACTGCTGGCCACCGCCGCCTTGTCCGCGCTCCGCTCAAGAGGCGGCTGCCGTGTCTTTCGCCGCTCACTCCTCGCTCAAGCGGCGGCGGCTTCCCCTCCTTCTCACACCACAGCAGGCGTGGCTCCCCCCCGCATTTCGTGCCTCGCTGTGGTTGAGGCCAAGATGGCGCCTCCTTCCAGTCTACCGAGGTGGGGTTCGGCCGAACCATTTTTTGGGAAGCGGAAAGCGGGAGGCGCCGTGACACTTAACTGCGCTGAGGCAGAGCGAGGACTTCCTGCGTTTTCGGCAGCTCAGCGTATTTCCCTGTGCAGCGCTAGGCGGAAGGCGACAGGACAGCGCGCTGACGCGAAACCTGCCCGTCGCCCCCCCTACAAACCTTCCACCGTGGGCTTGCCCGAAGGCTGGCGGTGCCCGCGCGGACGCTACCAAGCTCGTGCAGAGGGGGAGGCGGGCTTGTGCTCGGGCGCGGCGAACACACGGGGTGCGGCGGCCCCCCCCCCTCCGCAGGCGGCGGGGCCGGATGGTACGGCCCGACGGCAGCCGCCACATCAGCCCCGCGAGGGGCCCGGCCGGGTCAGGCGACATGGCGGGTCGGGGCTCTCTGCCGGGCGGGGGCGGCGAGGCCTGTGGGGGTCTCAAGCGACGGGAGCGGCTTGTTAGCTCACAGCTAGCCACGTCCGGGCCACTGTGGGTCGAATATACCAGGTCGTCTCCGAGCGTTGTATTAATCCTTACAAGACCTCTGTGGGTTTTAAATAACCGTGTTCCGTGAGGTAAAATATGACGCTCGCCATCCCGCATCACCGCTGCAGCGGTCCGGTTAGCGGGAGAAGCCTTCCAAAGGGGCAGAGAACCTGGCTCGACACGGCGATCTCTCGGTGCGGTGGTACAGACAGAAGGACAAGACGAGTATCTCTCTCTACTGTTTTCCAGTGATCTGAAGTGTTACCTTGTGTAATCCTAACATCACAGTATGATTTTTAAACTGGTAAAGTTCTCTCACGGTGGCTACCACTGTGGCCAACTGTACGAGAGAGCTGACCTCTATTGATTACACCATTACCTTAATTCTCGGGCACCTCGGGTTGATGCAAAAATATGTGGAGTGTCATTTTTTTCAGCATGCGTGCTAATACGATATATTCAAAGCGGCAAAGGGAACCTGGAATTTGTCTTGGATACCATCTTGAGGTTTTGGTGATATTTTTGGAGGATAAAGATCAGAACAGTTCTTGAGGCATAGTTCATTTGTGTTCACTTCTGAGATGACCGCTTGCATTTTGTGTAGGGTTTTTTTGGTGTTTTTTTAGCCCAGTGCTTTCAATCAAATCGTACAGAATAAGAATGCCAGCATAAAAACTTGTGAGAAGAGTAGAACAGGTATTGTACTTAGCATTTTAAATTTAGACCCTCTCTTATGTTGCAGTATCTTTCATGTTTTGATAAAATCTTGAGAGAAGGTATGTAAGAAATTAAGCTAAGAAACACCAGTGCTCTAAGTTATCAGCTAGTCACAAGATGGCATCCTAATTCCATTCAAATTCAATTGGTTGAGCGTGTCAGTTCCGTATTTAAGCTACGGGCAGTGCTTATGAATGGAAATGATGACTGGTGCTTTCTGCAGTTACTTTTTTCCCCTTGTTATATCATGGTAGTTGACCAGACTTTGATTTCCTGGTTTGCAGCAGCATTGACACACTAAAGAAAATGCTGTTATCTCTCCTGCCATCACCACCATGTATTTTTCCAAATGTGAGGACATGCTGTGGTTCAATCAGTAGTCCCAGCTGGGTCCTCAAGATTACATGGCTCTTCCAGGAGCATGTATGCAGTCTCTCTCACCCGTGTTTCACCACTCTCACAGTTGCCTGTATTGTTGGAATGTGCAATTTTTTCATATTACCTTTCTTCCTGTTCGCAAGCTACCTACTACTTTTACAATCACTTTGGTTGAACACTGAATCTAAATGTTGGATCCTTCTTTCCTTTCTTTGTGTGGTCTGCTATTTGCACTTTCCCTTACTTCACAGAGACTTTTGATTTCTCTTCCTTCCTTCCCCCTTTCCTTTCTTCTACTGAAATTTTAGTCCCTGTGCTATCTCACTGCTATTCTTTCTCTCCCAGTCCTCAGCAATCTGAGGGTGAGTGGAACAACTTTTAAAACCACAGATTTTGGCACTAGCAGCTGGAGCCCGTTCCTGTAAGTATTCCACATGCAAAACTCCTAATCAATGGGAAATTTTGGAAAAGCAAGCTAGCGGGAGCGGCTTTTTGTAACACAACTGTCAAACCAGCAATGCCTCGTGAATTTTACTGAGTGCAAGTGATCTGAGAATAGTGGAGCTGAAACCACTGTTTCCTAAACTGAATTCTGAAGGAGTAAGCAAGCTGTTGTGGTCTGTATGAAATTTTATCTAATACTGATAGGATGTGCGCAGAATGATGCATTGAGAGGTTAGGGCCTCAGGTAGTCACGTACTTTTGCATTACATTTGTTACCTGGAACCTGCTGACATGTGCCCTTTCTTTCTTTAGTGATTATAGTTTCTTCATGCTACAGGTTTTCCAGAAGCTTTTGCTGCACTTGGAGCAAATAGGGAAGTGTTCAATAACTTAGGTCAAGCACAATCTTTCTAGCCCTGTTCAAAAATTATTTCTGCAATTGAATTATTTTTCACAGTATTTTCTTCAAGAATCCTCCCATGGGTTGCAAAAGCAATCTTCAGTTAAGAATGACTTATTTATACCAAATAAATAGTTATGCTATTAGCTTAAGTACAGACCAATCAAAAATCTATAGCTGAATAAGAACATGTTGATTCCTCCATTCATTTTCTCAAAAAATGCTATATAGGCGAAAAATTGTGTAGCGCTTAGTTTTCAGAAGTGCTGAGCATGCAAAACTCTCCACTCGGCTGCTGTATAAACATGATTTGAAGGGCCTCTCAGCTTAAATAATGCCATGCTTTTTTTAATTTTATACACAGCTTTAGTCTGCACCCACGCTTGTGGGGATCTCAGCTGAAATAGCACTGAGGCAAGAGGCAGAAGGAAAAGGAGAATCACTCAAGTCATTCACATCTCTGTGGCAGCATGAAAAGTTTCAAGGGACGGCATTATGATCGTAATTACTTACACCTGAAATAATTATTGCTTTATAACTTTCTGGTTTAGTTCTCTGTGCATATAGTGGAGATAACTATTTATCTTCCCATGATTAATAATTATCAGGAACATTAATTAGTGAATGCATCCAATACTTTGGATATTAAAAACATAAATCATTATTATGGACTGGTAGCATCTTAATCTGGAGGTCCAGAATCTACACATATTTGTGTGTCTTGCTTGTTAGATGGTGTTTTCAGGAAAACCACTTTACAAAACATACGCCTTATTTTTCACCAGTGTTGACCATATCATTCCTGACTAATAAAGTACAGGAAGTGGGAGGAAAAAAAAAAATCACTAATAAAATGAGAGGCATTTATACCTGAAATTCTTATTTTTATGCAGTTTTAGAAAGTGTATTTGCATTCCAAATGCTCATATTTCTGTGCTTTCCTGAACAGGCTGATGTCTGTTTCTACCATATTTACCTTTGTTAGCGCATAGCACAAATGCTACAACGGCTTTTTCTTTGGAAAAACATTAAATACCTACTTTAACTTATCATCAAAAATACTTCATAAAAATCCAAGTGTATCCAAAATACCAAAACCACTGAGTGTAGGAAACACGCTGATTGATTGACTAGATAGCAGGAGAAATGAAATGCCTTGGGAAAAGTTAACTCAGTGAAAGAAAATAGACCAACGTTGTCTTGGAGTATCTCATCTGACTCGAAATATAAAGTACGGCCTCCGTGTGTGTCGCCACGTGACTGAAGGACTGTCTTATTACCGCGACCGACAACTCATCTACTTTTGGTAGCGCACAGTGAAATCTGCCTGCAGTTCACGTTCCCAATAAGCATCCTTTCCAGCCTTCAGAAGGAAAATTAATTTGATTTCGGAATAAAGCCTGCATTAAGCCCATGAGCCGATCGCTTCTTTTTCTATGCTTTAAGATGTTTGAAAGGTTTAGGATTAATCTTGAAGCGGCGTAGAAGCGCTTTGAGCAATCCCGTCGGCAGCAGGGACGGCTTACTGCCTCTCGGGGAGCCCCAGCCCCCGCTGCGAGAAACCCGACGCGTTCCCGCCAGCCTTCAGCCCCCAGAACGGACGCGTATTGCCTCATCGGGGACGTTATCGCCAAGTGCTGTCACAAGCGACGGTATTTTGCCATGTCCCCCCCGCCGAGGACAGCCCGGCCGAAGTCCCCTGTGTGTCCGTGTCCGCGCTCCCCGTCTCGCCCCC